TATAGGATGTCCCAGAAAGTATAAGCACACTCTCAACTTGCCGCTACGCAAATGAAGTTTATCAGCTGTTCATCGATGTGTGTTGTTGTTTACTTATTGTTCAACAAGTTAGTGTGTGCAAAGTGCATTTTTGTTTTTACAAAATCATAACAATGTGAGGCATTTCCTCGGAAAAAAGCGCAAACAGATCGTGCACAAATGGTGCACTTTTACCAACCTATCAGTAAGGAAGCTGGCGAAAATGGAGGAAGTAAATATCGGAGCAATCTAAACCGCCATCCAGAAGTTTGGAGAAGAAGTTACCTTCGAGGACACATTAAAATCTGGCCGTAAACCGGGACCGATGGATCGAAAAGTGGACCAGAAGATTACCAAGCTTTCGTCATTAAGAAAATTGCTTCTGTTCGAGATTTGGCCAAAAAAACTGAGAACATCGAAGAGTAACGTCCAACTTGCCAAGGCAAGAAACGAAGTGAAAACGTTCAAGAAGCATAAGAAGCCAAAACGGAGTCAGAAACAAGCCGCATCCGTCAAACCGAAGGCTGGGAAGCTATTTGATAGCCTTATGTGAGGTAAATTGGCGTGTGTTATCACCCAAGTAACATTTTAAGTTTTATGAAATACTACAAAGCAACTATAAAACAACATTCATAAAACCCTGGTCAAGGCTATTTTGTCATTAATGCATCCACTAAAACCTAATTAAGACTAGAATATGTCTAGTTGGCCCACCCTGGAGAAGGTTCTGAAGGGTGTATTCTCGAAGCTCTTCAAGAGTGATTTACTGCAAAAGGTTGTACGACGAACGCATTGAGAACCATTTGGAAGCTACAATAAAAGCTATTTAGCAACAATAAAAACCCTTTCCGAGCCTAGAAAAGCATCAATCAAGATAGAAAAGGATTTAATAGAAACTGATGGTATAAAAATCTTGTTGACTATCCAAATTTATTACAATGGTTCTCATTAAGTGGCCTAATTTTAAGTGCCATTTTAAATTTTATGTGAAATTTACGTGTAAACATCGAAAAAATTAAGTGCACCCTCGTTAAACGTCAATTTGACCAATTATTTAACATTGAAAAATAAAATATATGCTTCGGATCGTGCTTGGCCAAGATTTTTTTTTATTATTTTGGCATTTAAATGTTTGCTCGTTGCTAAATTTACCAAAATATAGTTATATCTAAGGAAATATAGATTGAAAATCGAAGAATGTAAAAAACAAGCAAACTAATTGTAACATGGCGGTGGCATAAAAGTGGATTTTCATGGGTCATTTGTGAAAAAGTTGTTTTGCTTTCAAGAATTCCTTAACAAATTAATAAGGTTTTAAAATGGCTTTCATGAAGAAAACTTGCAGGCTGAATTGTATTTATCTAAAGCCATTTTGCTTGATCCTAACCCGTTCAGATTTATGGCAGTATTTATGGAGGCAAAGTTGCCTGCAAAAAGTTAAACGTCAAAGTTTGTTTATCTTTCGATAGTTGCGCTGTGGGATCCAGAGTTCTTCCAGGTGGTTTTCTCCCGATAGATTGGGAGCAGTTACTCAGACAGTTTGCGATACTGTTTTACAACATTTCGCATTTCGAACAGCTGAAAGCGCAATCGTTCCCGAAAAAGATCCCCTTCTTCCGGATGGTTACCATCCGCATCATCCAACGATGCAGGGATGTACACTTAAATGAAATTTTCGAAGAGTTGATTCTTTCGCCGAATAAAATCGCTGCTATGGATCGGAAACCAGCTAATCTCCGCTGACTAACAGTTTCAGTGGTTTGCTGTCGGTTGTCATCTTTTCGCAAGATTTGGAGAAGGCTGGTATGTTTTTTAAACTTTCGACAATGTTTTATGAATTCGAGGGCCCCGCTCAGTTTGCTCTTCTACGCCAGATGGTCAGTCGTTGATGGTGTGCTGGTTCTTCTAGAGAAGTAATTTTTGCTGAAATCGACTTGAATTTTTCATCCTACTTCGTCTATCTTTTGAGATTTCCTTGTCATAAATTTGGCATTTATTAACTAAGAGGAACCATCTTTTAAGCTGAATTTGTAATCAGAGTAATTGGGGAGTTAACAATACACTTTAAAAAGCCTGAACAGCAACAATAAATGCTTTTTGTTCTTATGCAAGACCCAATGGTTTTATGGTTGCTTTTATAATGATAGAACACGTTTATAAAATATTTCATCAAGACATTAATAAACAATTGTTAATGACGTGTATGCTTGAATTTCAAAACAATTTTAAGGAGGGATTGATAACTGTTTTAAATTTATTTTTAAAGCAAGACAGTTTTTGACTTTCTTGCCAGACTGTAAAAGGTTTTTAAAACAGCAAAAAGCTGAATTACTAAGCAGAAATGTATTGCACTTTGAAATGCTATATTTAAACTAAATAGATTTGTCATTTCCGTTATAAAACCATTATAAATCAGAGTGGACTGAATTGTTACTTGGGCACGGACGATGAAATACAAGTCAAATTTGACTACAAGACGCTTCTGGGAGACCAATATTGCACAGTCCATCTAGCAGTCCGTGGTGGTCAGAAAGTTACCGATGCCGATAAGTTAATTTTAACCGAAAAATTTGGTAAGAAGGCCATGGTTTGGCTAGCGATATGTGAGTGTGGCAAGTTGTCAAAGCCATTTGTGACGAAACGTTGAACACTGAAATTTAAGATCGGGATAATTTGAATCGGTGTCTGCGGCCCATGATCCGTCAACATGATGGCCCAGTACTATTTTGGTCCGATTGGGTGTCAAGTCAATGCACTACTCGAAAGACACGGTAGCTTGGTACAAAGCAAACAATGTGGAATACGTGCCAAAAGAGATGAATCCTCCGAATTGTCCGGAGACCCGGTCAATTGAAACTGTTTTGGGCCCTTCCACGAGATATCTACGGAAACACTTTAAAGCAGCGAATTCAATCGAAAAATTTGAGAAAGACTGAACAAAAGTGGACAAAATTATGCTGAAGTTCATGGGCAGCGTCAGATCAAAAGTTCGCTCTTTGGCGTACGATTAAAGGAACTGCGGATTATTGTCATCCAATTGAAAGGGAATTCTATACTATACAATTGAAAGATAAATACTTAGTAATAAAAATTTGAGTTTTAAACCAATAACAAACTGTGCTTATATTTTTTAGGGCACCCTTTATTCGGTGGTCATACATTTTACCGAATAATTACCCTAACAATCATTAACAGGCTAGAGGAGCCAGTCGGGTGAGGTTATGTTTGATAGAGCTACTACAGCGGTCATGTCAACTAATTTCTATCAAAATAGGTAATGTTTGCCCTGTTAGCAAATGTCATTATATGAGTAAACTTTACCCAGTTTCTGCCACTGGTACGTATACCCAGATTTGGGTAAATGTATGTTTACCCATTTTTGTGTGTGTTTAGTAGACTGGGTAGACTTTTAAGTAGCGTGTACGATATGGAATATGGTCCGATTGTTCTGATGATCCTTCAGGGAGGTTGAAATCTTCTCCAGATGATCACGATATTTACGAGTGGCGTCATGACGAACCATCGTGTAGATCTGGATCGGTTGTAGTCCATTGGCCTTCAACTACTCGGATAATGGGATAATGAGTTGGTTTACATGTCAGGGAGTTCACGCAAATGGATGGTGCATTACCTTTACCGATGTAAAAAGTCGATTTTCCCCGCAATCTGAGTGGCAATCTCTTCCCGAAGAACGGTGGTAACTTCTCCTACTTATCAATTTTCGGTGCATCGTCGTTCTCTAGAACGGTATAGCGGTTGTTCGTGGCTGCCGATTTGCTGTCGGTGGCGTCATTATCTGAACAGGACCGTTTCCAGTAGCACTGGCACTCGCGCCTCCACGTAGTTTCATTCAAGGCAACCACAAAAACAAAAAAAAAAAAAACAAAAGCGATTGATCGAAGAAATAGGAATGAACTGCTCAGCAGCTTGGCAATTAATTTTGAGAGGCTTTTGCATTAAAGTCTTTCAAAGTGGATGCATTAGTCCTTCAAGTAGCATGTTAGAGGAGGTGGCCACAGCATATAAAATATTCATGTAAATTTATGCAATATATTGTGTACACGTTATTAACGCTAGATTTGGCATAAATGTACATGAAATTTAATGAAAATTTAATCACATGATCGCATTAATCTGCAATATTGCATACAAACTAGTGATAAATTCCGTTGTTTACGCCAAATATTGCTTAAAATTAAACGAGAGGATATTTTACCCGTGCAGAAATAGATAGCATTTCTGGTAGATCGTATTGTCGTGTTATGAAATAGAAGAAAACAAAAACAGATGAAAACAAATCAATATAACCCTTACAGCTTTTTAATGTTAAGGAGCTTGGGATTGAACCCACGATATTCTGATCAGTAAGCAAAACCGGTTACCATTAGGTCACCAAGCCTCTCGTATAAGTTACAACCTACCAAGATCGCTTCAAACACCTTGATCGTTTGTTGGTATCGCCGTTCAAATCGGTGATAGCGACGATTGTCACACAAAATGAAGTTCAAAAGCGATATGAACGATGGCATTATCATAGAATAACATCCTTGCAGGATCGAGCAAACGTCTCATTACATCACAAATACCTTAACATTTTTGACAGGACTGGATATTAAACTCGGCTAGTTAAGACTAAAATGAAAATTAACTTGTATTGTGAGTCTGTGACAGTCTGTAAAATTCATATATCAAAGCCATCGCGAGCCCAACTTAATCATAAATATAGTTTGAAAGTATTTGTCATTTCCAGCTTTACCTAATTCCGGATGATCATGTACCTTTAACTACACTAAATCTGTTTTCTGGAGCCATCTACATAAACCAGCTGATGAATCATTTATTTACCCAAATTCCAAGAAATATCCCTTCTAGCATTGCGGCAATATCTACAGATTCGCATGCCATTCTGTGAATCCACCGAAATTCTGCATTCATGTAAGCTCCCGGTTTCAATTTTCTTTTTCTTTTTTTCTTTCTTTCAGAGGATACCAACCGCCCGTGCAAGCGCCAATGCAACCGAGCTGATTGGCCCCAGATCTGCCGCTACCGCTTGGTGATAGAAAAGTACTCACTGCCCAAATTCCCGTAAGTAAAGCGATGGTCCGTGATGGGATTTGAATTCGGTGTTTTCGGTCGCGGCAACAACGCAGCTGTTTGCAGTGCCGACGCTCGCTAAGGATTTTATGGGTTGCTAATTAAAGATGTATCAAAAGGAGCGCGAACCCTACTGTTGCCCCCGTCGGTTTACTTGTTTGTGCAAAGTATAATGCGTGCAGCTTGTTTCATTACAGAGTGGACCATAAATATATAATTAGCGATGAAAACGAATCCGTCGGTGCTGGTAGAACTGAAAGTCACTATTTTCTTGTCAACGGTCACCACACCGGGCCAACGTTGGAAGTATGCAAGAATGATTTCGTAGTGATTGATGTGGAAAATCGTATCCCGGGGCGAAGTATTTCGATCCATTGGACAGGGCAGACCCAGCGGCATACGCCATTCATGGATGGGGTGCCAATGTGAGTATGGATGTCATGTCATGCCGTGCTTTGCAAGATGGGTGAAGATTATGAAAGTTTTAAATTAATTCTAGGATAACACAATGTCCCATCTCCAGTTTCACCACATTCCAGTACAGGTTTCAAGCGGACCGTTCTGGAACACATCTCTATCATGGTTTCTCCAAGAAAGAGCGAAGTCTTGGTATGGTTGGTGCTTTATTGGTACATTCGGTGCATGAACAAAGTCAGCATCCGCTGTCGAGCCAGGTCCAGGATGATTTAATTTGGATCGTTTCGGAAATAAACGGAAGTTTCCTGATTAACGGAAACAGAAGCATGATACAAACGGTTCATGCCGGTCGGCGGTATCGTGTACGGGTGGCTTACGTTGCACCGATTAGCTTGCGAAGCCACTGCCAACGTTGGCTGGAGATCCAGGATCACAATATGACGGTGATTGCATTGGATGGAAATTTAATAGAACCACTTGTGGTGGAACGTGTTGCTCTGTCCGATGGCAACCGGGTTGATCTCATTGTGCACGCCGATGAGCGCGTGGTGGAGCAAGATTATGAAATTCGCTTCGTTGCCACCGGGGATTCGATGAACGACGACGGAGAAAGCAACGAGTGCCATCTACGTCACAGAGAGCCGCAGCAGCCTTATGCTTATGGTTCAACGAACAATTTTAGATTAAAGTATGTGAGAACCGAGACAGCTGATTCACCGCTTCGGCCCGGCGATGGTAAGTAGGTAGTTGGTGAGTTTTGAGTGACATTGAAGCTTGGTGTTGGAATTGCGGTGTGAGAGTTGGAAGATGTTGTTTAAAAATGTAACCTAGGGTGAAGTGTTGGATTTTGAGCATCCTAATTTAGAATCTCACGACGGGTTGGTGATTTTTTAAGTAAATGCTGAGTAGATATTTTCTGGCTATTTACTTAGCATTTCATACATTTGACAAAGAAGATTAATTGTTGTACTTTGGCTGTTGATATCAGGGACTTCATGTCTAGTTATGGTTGAAAACAACAACACCGTAGGAGAGAGTAAGTACAAGCGAAACTTTATAAACTGAAATTATGATTTTTATGAGAATTTTGCATGGGTGGTTCACATAATGGATATAATCAACCACAATTAACGCTCAGATTGATAGATTTGTTTCGTTATTTTTATTTTGTTTTGTTGGTAAGACTGTCCAGAAGGTTTTCCTAACGATATAGCTTGAAAAGTTCTAAAGAAAATTCTAAAAAATGATGAACAAAATGGGGTTGTGATTTGAGTTGGATTTATTAATTAATTAATTTATTTATTTATTTATATATTTCGTAAACCAGCGTAGACATATTAGAATACAGTTTTGTTTTCTTAAATTTATTTATTTATTTCGTCAACTTTGGGCAAAAGGTTAAAAGTATATTTTTTTCTTTAATAAAAATTAAGCAGTGTCAGCTTTCCTATTTTTTATGAGTTATAATACCTTATGGAGTAAAAATATTATTTTAGTTTATGCCGAGATATTGTAAAGTCAATGGTTTCGCAGTATTGACTGTAAGTGACCATCATGCGGTTTAATGGCCTAATAATTTGTGCGATGATGTTTTATGGCAAATAAATTTCGATTTCGGAGTTGCCGAGTAGGTGCATGGAAATTTAATTTTGATAAAAGTTTTGTGGAGTCCATGCACTGCGAAACAATATCGTTTACAAATGAAACCATTGCATATTCACGACGCTCTTTTAATGTTTGTATGTTTACAAACATGCAGCGTGCGTCATATGATGGAAGAGGAGTAATATATAATAGAAATTGTTTTTGTACGGATTCTAATCTTTCTTCGTGCGTGATTGAAAAAGGAAACCATACAATGCTGCAATATTCCAGCATTGGCCTCACAAAGGCAATATATAGTGTTTTAACCCTTAAATGCATAGTGTTGCCGTTTGGCAACATACCTACTTTTGTCAATAAACATGATAAAGTAACTTTTTTTTTCGTTTTTACATTACAACGAAAGTTTATACATTAGCCGACAACTACGGTAGGATGAAGTTACACAGGTAACGGTAAATTTTGACATATCATGCATTTTCCATTCATTTGCCGGAAATTTTCCGTCGCATCGATTCATTGAGTATATTTATCGGGTTTTTGTGCATAATACGTATAATTATTTGCTGAAAAAAATCGTGACTGTGTTGCAATACGTATAAGTAACTGACGTGTTATTTCAGAACGCTATTTTACTATTCGTACGTTACAATACTCAGCAAAACTTATATGTTGCCAAACGGCAACACTATGCGTATACCACTTCTATTTATGTGTTGTGTATGGCAAAAATTCGCATGCAAAATAAACTAAGTACATATTTTTTTCAGAATGAATAATAGAATATTCAGAGAAAAGGATATCGAAACATATCTAGCGTCACTGCAGGATGGTTTCATATCGGAGGATGAGGCAGATTTCACGGATGTCAACAAATTTGATTATTACCTTCACAGTGATGACTTGATACGTGATTTGGAGGGAACATCTGACTCGGACGAATCGGACGATGAAGAACCTAACAGATTTTTCCGGAATTCGGGAAAAAACGATTCACCGAACGTCAATCCAGAACGACCAGCAGTAGTCAATAAGCCAGGAACCCGTGACTGGATATGGAAAAAGGATAAACTGATTTATGACGATGATCGGGTAAAATTTACCGGAAACGTCAAACCCTACGAAAGTACAACAGCAATGCAGACACCGTTTCAATTCTTCTCACTGTTTATGACGGATGATATTTTGGTAAAAATAGTGGAGGAGACGAATTTGTATATTGTTCAAAAGGGAATTTCACACTGCCAACCGGTCACGTTATCGGAAATTCGAAAGTTTTTTGGTATTCTTATCTTCATGTCTGTTTACCACTACCCGAATGTGAGATCTTATTGGTCAAAATATGGTTTTGCAACGATAATGGAGTCAATGACCCTAAATCGGTTCGAAAGAATTCGTTCCGTAATTCATTTCAATGATAATGATCTCCACAAATCTGTTGGTCATCCCATTCATGACCGCCTCCACAAAATTAGACCTATAATAGATTATATGAACAATACTTTTGCTTCCGTCACGCCTTTCGAGCAAAGATTGTCTCTTGATGAGCAAATGTGTGCTACCAAATTTGGCCACTTCATGAAGCAATACTTGCCAAACAAGCTTCATAAGTGGGGCTTTAAGCTGTATGTGTTATGCTCCTTGAGCGGCTACGTTTACAGGTTTGAAATATATAGCGGAAAAGAAGAGCATGTAAGATTTTCGGAGGAGCCTGATCTCGGATTAGTGGGAAACACAGTAGTTCGTTTATGTCGACCACTTCCCATGAATGTAAACCATATACTATACTTCGACAATTATTACACAACCCTACCATTATTTATCTACTCAAGGTATTCATGCATTAGGAACTATTCAAAGAAATCGGCTAGACACACATTGCAATCTTCCTACACAAAAAGATTTCATGAAGCCGTCTGTAACACGTGGAACTTATGAAGAACAACTTACCGACTATGAAGGTGTGGCTATTAGTGTAACATGTTGGAAAGATAGCAAACTCATGACACTAGCTTCCACGTATGTTGGTGCTGAACCTGTGGATACCATCAGAAGATTTGATAAGAAGGATAAAAAGCAGATCACAATTGTTTGTCCGAAAATCATCAAAGAATATAACGCTCATATGGGTGGGGTGGACCTCATGGACAGTTTTCTTGGCAGGTACAAGATTAGAGTCAAAAGTAGAAAATGGTACATTCGACTTTTTTACCATATGTTGGATATGACTGTAATCAATTCGTGGGTGCTATACAAAAAATCTAACGAAGGCAAAGAGCCAAAACTGCTGAATTTGGCTGACTTCAGAACAGACCTGGCTGATTCATTGTGTAGATATGGCACAAGTAGTGCCAATAAAAGAGGCAGATCATCAAATAATATAGAAAAAAAAAATTAAGAGCAAAAAAATTTCGCGGTCCGATGAGTTACGTTCCTTCGCAGGACGTTCGTACCGATGGAAGTGATCACTATGAACAACGATGTGATAAGAAAACAAGATGTAAATTGCCAGGATGTAAAGGGTTTTCTCGCATACAATGTACCAAATGTAAAGTTACACTTTGTTACACTAACAAAAGAAACTGTTTTCACACATTTCATACATAAAGATAGTGTGTTGCCAAATGGCAACAATATGCGTTTGACGTTAGGCAGTGAGAACATTATTTAATCGTCTAACGCATAGTGTTGCCATTTGGCAACATACCTTGATTTTGCATAAATAAAGTATCAAATCACATTTTAAAAGTTTTGTATCACTTGTTCAGTAATATTAAGCCCAATTTCTATAACTAGAATTTTTTTCAACGCAAAATAAAAAATCATGCATTTAAGGGTTAATTGTGTATGGGTCCTGAAAGTTATAGCAAAAGCGCTTGATAAAGCCTAGCATGTTATTTGTCCTGTGAATAATTGTGTTGTAATGATCTATAAAAGTTAGTTTAGAGTTTAAGATAATTCCTAAATCCCTAACTCTTTTACATTTTTCTACATTTTGATTTCCTAGTGTAATTGAAATATTTGAAGTTGTTCTTTTCCTGTAGATTTTCTAGTAGACTTTTTTTTGCACCATAAGTAGAATATGTGTATTTCATTCCGGAATATATTGATGTCTTCTTCATTTCTTATATCCAAAAAGAGCTTCATGCCGTCGTCATATATAAGCAATTTAAGTTTTTTGAGAATGAAAGAAATGTCGTTTACGCATAGAATAAAAAGAAGAGGTCCCAAATGAGTGCCTTGGGGGACGCCTGAAGTGACTTGAATTGGACTCGATTTCTTTCCGTTGAATTTAATTATTTGTTGGCGGTTAGTTAAATATGATTCATGCCATTTTAAGAGCCCTGACTCTATTCCATTTTTTGGCAATTTAAAAAGTAGCATTGGTATGTTTATGTGGTCAAATGCCTTGTTAAAGTCTGTATAGAGAGCTTCTACGTGGTTTCCATTATCCATTGCATTCAATGAATAGTCTATAAATTCAAGTAAATTTGTCGAGGTCGAGCGACCCTCGGAAAAGCCGTGTTGCATGTCAGTAATTCAATTTTTAATTTGGAGAAATATTTTTTCGTTGACAATTGCCTCGAAAAGTTTAGGAATGCAAGAGATAATGGCTATACCACGGTAATTTTCGTGTGTCATTTTTACGTCCAAATTTTTGGGAAGGTTCCAGATTACAGGGACATATTAAAAATCCAAACCAATGGAGCAGTGAGTTCCATTGTTGGTCATTTAATAAATACTGGAGGAATTTCGTCATGTCCAGGACCTTTTGAGGCATCTAAATGTTTTAAAGCCAGCAAAATATCCTGCACTTGAAGTTGATTGAGGCCAATGTCCCTTGAAAATTCTGGAAAAAATGCAAAATATTCGCTGTCACGATCTTCTTCAGGAAATGTCGTATAGATTTCTTGAAAATTTTTGCAAATAGATTGCAGCTTTTTTCCGAGCTATCACCGACATTTTCGTCGAGATGCGTTATTGAAGGAAAATTGTCAGATTTTTACTTGGTTTTAAAGAAGTTCTTTGGACAGGAATTTATTTCATGTTTTGTTTTTGCATTATATTCTTCAAATGCAGTACTGATAGCTAGATTAAGTTGATCGCATATATCCAAATAAATTAATAAATTAGTACTACTATTATGTTTTTTATAAATTTTATGTGTTTTTTGCTTCCGATTTTTCAAAATTTTTATTTGTCTGTCATACGGCCTCTTTCCTGATTTTTATCTCTCAATCTATGGAATCTACGCGAAAAATATATATGAATAAAATTTTTAGAACAGTACGAGGAACATTATGCCGTAGACTACATATTTTTATATCATATGGGTGGAAAGTTTGTAGAGCAAATACTTTTAAATTCTTCACTATTTAAGATATCTTCGAGCATGAAACTAAGTCAAACTTCAATAAAATCACTTTGAATAGTCAACCTTTGGTCACAAAGTTGGTAGACAACACATTAAGCTTTGCTATGAAAGTTGTTACAGCAGTTTTCATTGTTTCAGTCTCGAGATACAAATATTATAAGCTGTAAATTACCTTAAGAACATAAAATTAACTTGAAACACCTCTAAATCATCACCGATTTATCTGAAAATTTGCACAGAAGCTCAAATTAATTTGACAAACAGTAATCTCGGTTGACCCGTTGCATTTCGAACATTTCTGTTAAAATGAAAAGGTCTATCTAATATGTATAATTGGTTTTTCGAGTATAAGTATTAGTGGAAAGATCGTTACTGAAGCTCGATTTTTGTAATCCTATAAATAAACGAATAAAACGTTCGTGGCCAATAAAGGATCAACTGATGCCAAAACTGGTGCTGAAGTTAGACATTTAAATCAATTTTTAAGGTTATTGTGTTCAAAATGGTTTCATTATTCAGAATATTTTAAACTTCAATTGAATTGTATCAGTTACTCCACAATATGATGGTTTCTATTTAAAAAACATGTGAAAACTAAATATGCTTACTATCTACTCAAAGCTGCCTCATTTACCCTATAAGGTTGGATTTATTATTCTTGCAATGAACTGCAGCGTACATCAAGTTTTTCCATAACGCATATTTTTGTATAAAACCGTCACGTGATGATTTTCTAGACGCAATACATTTGGAGAAACAAACTTTCTTCGAAAAATAAGCTAGCAATTACAAAATTACTTAAAAAATGTCGCAAAACATTGAAAAATCAGCATACTTTTCATGAAAATCTCGAATCTTACATTTCCTGGTTGGTTGTAGGTAACCACTTAGTACAGAAGTGAAGTTTACCAAACCCCACATACTTAAACTTGATTGCCGATATTTTCACAGGTTTTTGCTCCCGGCAAACGAACTGTACTGATTTGACAGCAAAAAAGACCGTTGGTTGCATAATCTAGGAAAATATTTAGCAAACGTCAGTTTGACTGAGATCTCAGTAAAATTTATTGCCACAGGTTTTCATCTCAAAATCAAATTTTCACCCCACGCATTCTACCTAATTTATCGGCGCAGTATGTGTCCTTTTGCGCTAGTCAAATTGCTAAATTAAATTCAGTTCCCTTCGGTACCATACATTCCAGCGACTGCAACAACATCAGAAGAGAGGCCTCCACCGTCCAAACAAGGCAGAAGGCACCTAGGGTTCAACGTTGGCCAAACAGTGTGCGGCAACATTTCGGTGGCTACCCTGCCGGGAGCTCGGAACCGTCTCGATAAACTTTGCCTGCTCAACGTCAGGGCCAGAGCGAACGATGCCAGGAATCGGTTTCCAGCGGCACTGCGTGATGTGGATAGGCGGATTAGTCTAGTGCTCACCAAGCGGAAAGTTGTGCGAGAAATTTTCGGAGGTAAGTTACCAAGTACTATATCGTGGAACAAGTTTGACGATAAAGGGAAACGGATTCTCCTGTGAACGCGTATGTTTGTTTATACAAAGTGTGTGGGTATTGTTTTGGAAATTGCTTTCTGGGCAGGATATTCTCTTCAGGATTAACGAGAGTAACGGAAGTTTCTGGGGGATTAAGATGTTGAGGGAAAAATTTCGCCACTTTACGTGACGATCGATTATTTAAATTTGTTTCGCAAATTTCAGAACGCTTCTACGACGACTCGTACGGTGTGAATGGGTTCAGCTTTATTTATCCTTCGGCGTTGATGATACAAAATTTTCGCGACGCAAATTTGGAGCAACTCATATGCAGCAACAGTAGCGGTTACCGACGGATGCCAAAAAAGTGTCATCAAGCGGATGATGAGAACTGCGAATGTGTTCACGTTGAGTTTGTCGAAACCGGTCACCGAGTGGAGCTGGTTATTGTAAATGAAGGTAACAACCGTTGATGGTTGAAATATCCAAACCGATATACATTTTTATCTCTTTTGGCATCCAGATAAGGATTCGTCTTACACGTACCACCTGCATGGTAATTCTTTTTTCTTAGTCGGTTCGGCTCAGGTTGGCGATGATTGGTCGGAACAGGTAGATATAATTATTGGAATTTTAAATTATTCAATCATATCTTCAATGTATTCTAGTTACGAAATGTGAAAGGAAACTTTGATCGTCCAGTCCTGTTAGACACGGTACGAATTGATAGTGAATCGATGGTCGTGTTACGATTTGTTGCTTCCAATGCAGGGATGTGGATGTTGAGGGATTTAGGTGCTGAACATGGATGGAGTCGGGGACTTGATGTACTTCTGGATGTAAGAGCCATGGAGACTGAAATCGACATTCCGGATGATTTTCCCAGGTGTAGGGATTTTGTTGGACCAAAGTATTTTCTTATATAAATTATGTGTGCTTGAAAAGTACGTGCCATTGTATTCAATGTTTGATGACATGTTTAGATAATGTTAAGATGATTCCACAGTTGAGACTGCTTTTTTTTCTTGGATATGTAAGATTATGCATATTGAAACTGTTTTAACCGGCTGCGAATGGACACGGAGATTGTTCAGTAGATGTTGTCTTGCAGGCCAGTGTTTTTATTAAACAATCACAACACGTTTACAGCGCAACAGAAGGCACTACGATACTTATGGTCTGCTTGTATGAAACATGTTTCGGCGTCGTTGGTTCTACCTTCTTGGTCAGATTGTCGTTTAGGGCCAGTGAGAATGATTCCACTTATGCTCGGAATGTGCATCGCTGGACCGAAATCCTTCGTCAGAAACTCCTTTGCAAGTTTGATCTTCAATCAGTTACGCTATTACTTGCTAAAGCTATTGATTATGAGCGTGACTTCAATGCAGTTTGCTGCATATGGCCTTTGAATCTAATACAATTGTTGGAAATTACCATAAGATTAACGGATTGGATGGTTTCCGAAATAATAATAACGCAGAGAAACGTCCATTATTTGAACTTTTGTGGTACACCAATTTGCTGTTTGTATCATGCCAACTGACCACTATTTGACGAGTGGACAACTAATTGCCTGGACACATCTTTTCCCAGTCCGATATAATAATGTTTTTAAAACCAGCTACCTTTTCAGGATTTGCAGACCAAATTTCACTAGGTTGCAAGCTAAAACTTCCAAGAAATTTAGATCTACGCTTGTGTAATGCACCCCAACTGCAGAGCAGATGTTCCGTGGTTTCACGTTCCAAATTACAGAAACGACAGATATCACTCTGAACCCGACCAATATTCTTCATGTGATATCTACTAGGACAGTGCCCAGTTACTAGGCCAGTGTATATACTAAGAACTCTTTATTGAGCTCTAAGTATTTTTTGGTGTATATTATATTAGGAGTTATAAGTCTTTTCGACTGGTTGCAGTTTGTGACAGTCATCCAATTGGCCATCACCCTTTGCTCTTTCCAGCATTTGAGTTCCATTTTTACCGTACAGTATGATATTCCACAGTATGGTTCTTTGCCAAAAAACTGTGAATTGGAACCTAACGTTGCTAGGTCGACTGCCCTTTTATTCCCTTCAATGGCACAGTGTCCTGGTACCCAATATAAGTTTACTGAGTTCCATTGGCACAGTTGCCGAAGCGAGAGAATACATACCCAGACGATCTTTGATGTACATTTGTAAGCACTATCATCATCAGTTTCCCAATTCAAACCATCAGTTTCCCAATTCAAACGTGCCGTTTCACATACGTTGAAGGGAATTTCATAGTTGTCCTTTTGTTTTCATTCTGTCTCCATTCACACTCATCATTGGTCCTCTTTGTAAGTATTGTAAGATGCTTAGATGACCAACAAGCTCCCCTGGCATGACTTTTTAGATCTTTGGAGCCTTAGAGCACTTCTTTCCGCTTCTAGTTGCACACGTTCATGCAAGAGCAGAAGATAGAGGATTGCTTCTAATGCTGCCCGTTATTGCAATACATGCTAGATGTTGAAGTTTTGCTAGTTTCGTCAAAGTCCATGTCTTTTTCGGGTTGTTGTTAAGGGGGGAGGGGGTTTTACATACATAATTTTCTAAGTCTCATTCCTCATTGTGGTGGTCGTGGTCACGCCGTGATTCACCTTGGGCCGCAGACTTTGTCCTGCTTGCTGCTGGACCTAGTGCCACGCCGTCCGAAGCGGTAATGAGCAGAGTCACTTTTTTTTTTTTTTTTACTTAAATGATCTATATTTCTTGAATTTGTGTGGTTTACATGTATAACTTATCAAGTGACACAGATGCGTCTTTTCAACTTTAGTTCCTGTGAAATTTCAATTATTATTAATTACAGTTCCTAGTCCTATCAGGCCTGTTTTAGAGAATGACCACCTTGGTGGGATTGGTTTGTTTGAAAATTTGAAAAAGGAGACTACTTATAACTACTATTTACAACTACAACTAACCTACAACTACTATGTACACCTAACCTACTATATACAAATTGCTTATCAAAGCATGCTCTGATAAATTACATTTTTGTGCAAATTTAGTCTTAATTTCGTTAATTTTGGAATCTATTTTGGCAATGCCTGCCTCTTCATGTAAATTTGTTATTCTAGTGTCGAAAGGACGATCAAGAACCATCCTCAGCACTCTATTCTGAGCGACCTGGATTTTGTTCCTGTGAGTCTGTGCACATGATTCCCACACCGGAGCTGCGTAGAGGATCGCAGGTGCTATGATTTGTTTGTAGACGGCCAGTTTGTTCATCGTTGAAGTTTGTTCGTTATTTCGCGAGGCATCCTTCCTTTGACGGCTATTGCGGTATCATCTGCGAACAGGAAAAACACGCAACCGTCACCGAGGGGAGGAATGTCGGAAGTGTAAATGCTGTAAAGCAAGGGGCCCAGCAGACTACCTTGCGGGACTCCTGCTGGGATCGAAAACGTGTCTGAGAGACAACCATTCAACGATACCTTAAACGACCTTTGCTGGAGGCAGTTACGGGTGGTTTTAATAAGATGTAAAGGAAATTTGAAGTTACAAAGCTTGTACACAAGTCCATAATGCCAAACATTGTCAAACGCCTTTTCAACGTCTAACAAGGCCATGGCTGTGTACTTGGATACAGCTATGTTACTTCGGATGTTATTCAACACCCGTACTAGCTGATGATTGGTGGAGTGCCCCTTTCTGAATCCAAACTGTTCCGGAAGGAGAATGTTGCGTTCCTCGACAAACTTGAGCAAACGATTGAGAATGAGTTTCTCGAACAATTTGCTCAGCGCTGAAAGGAGGTTGATTGGTCTGTAGCTTGAAGACAATGTTGGATCCTTACCGGGTTTGCGGATCGGTATGATTTTTGCTACTTTCCAGATGCTTGGAAAGTAGTGCAGCTCCAAACACCTGTTGAAGATAGCGGTTAGAAGAGACTGCACTTTCATGCTGAGTCTCTTCAAGATCAAGTTGAATATACCGTCAAACCCGGGAGCCTTCATGTTCTTGGTGCATTTCAGCGCTGAGAAAATTTGTTGTACTGTAATCATATCCGCCGGAGGACACAAGGGGAGGTATCTAGCTTTGGAACGCATTGCGCAACCTGATTATCGAGCGGACTTTGGATAGTCGAGCCAAGCCAATGAAATGAAGCGACATGCTCGCCGATCGCATTTGCTTTCTCCTGTGGGATGATTAAAAGCCGATCGTCATCATTTTCAACTTTGAGAGGTGGAACGGGTTTGGGATGATTTTTCAGGACCTTGGCTACCTTCTAGAATGGTCTGGAGCGGTCGTCCAGATTCTGGACAACACGCCGGAAACTTTCATTTCGGAGTGAGTCCATTCTGGAAGCAATCTGCCTATTCAGATCGGCCATTTCACGTTTTTTGCCCAGATCTCCAGTCCTCTGAAACTGGCGTCTACGAACATTTCTCAACCGAATCAGTAATTGGGTGTGGGAATCAATAGCAACAAACTTACCCCTCACAGGAACTTGTCGAACGTATGCCTCGTCAGCCATGGATATGGCCTGTTGGAGCCCTTCCAACGTCCGGTCGATGTCATCTACGGTGTTGAGTAGTGGATTTTCATCGATGTTGCTGTCCACCATTCGTCCGTACTGCACCCAGTTGACATGGTGGTAGTCTTTACGCAGGCAGCTTCTAGCAGGAACCACATTGACACCGACTTCAGTCACCACCGGTTGGTGGTCGGAGCTGAGATCGTTGTGCGCCTCCGGCTTGGATAGTCCGATGTTTGACAGGAAAAAGACCAGCGTGGATGGATTTCCCGCCGGAGAGATGAAAGTTGGTTCGTCCGGAAATTGCACAGTGTACAGACCATGTTGTGCGTGGTCGAACAATAGACATCCGTTCCGGTTCCTCTGGTAGTTCCTCCAAGCTTCATGGCGGGCGTTCAGGTCGCCCCCAACGATGAATCGGGAGCTAGTACGGGTGATGGCGGTCAGGTCCTTCTTGAATTGGATTCCTAATCCGTTGCTTGCGGTACACTGGCGTGGGCAGTAAACAGCGATGAACCGGACGTTTCCAGTTGGTGATTCCACCTCCACACTAATGGCCTCGATGATAGAAGTGCGGATGTGGGGCAGAGTGCAAAACTTGATTCCCTTTCTGACGATGACCGCTACACCACCCCCCCCTGGAGCTGGTGCGATCAAGCCGGATAATGTTGTGGTCAGGCAACCAGAAGCTGTCACCGGACTTTAGGGTCTCGGTTAGAAGAACCACGTCGATGCTATGCTTGCGGAGGAAGTCGGCAAGCTCAATCTGTTTTGCTCTTACAGAGCAAGCGTTCCAAGTAGCGATGGTTAGCGGTTTAGACACCATACTGGATGATGAATTTACCGAGCACTTGGATCTGTTCGGGCTTATTGCGGCACTTACGTAGAGCACCGGTCATGTAGACGAAAATTTCCATCAGTTCATCCGCTGAAAACAGATCGGGGTTGTTGTTTTGCGCTGGTGGTTGTCTCCAGAATCCAGGGGGGGGGGGGGATGGAAAGCTTTGGCCAGCAGAATCACCAGAAGTTGCTTGAGCGGAATGCACCCACGAATTCGCTTGCCTTTGCTGAGGAGCACGAAGAGGCGGGAAATCCTCCGTCCGAAATGCCGGGACTTTGTCCTTCTTGCGTCCTGGTTGGTTGTTAGCTGCCGCCTGTTTTCGGATGCGTTTGAAGTCCTCGCGTTTGGAGCACAGCGTGGCTTAATGTTACAGTTGCGAGTGCCGTGTCCAAAGTTCAGACACCGTTGGCACTGAGTCACATCACGATGGCCGCCACGGTATGGCTCCCAGCGGACGATGATGCAATTGATGGAGCGGATGGCTTTCAGCGCGTTGAGCGTCACCGTTCCCTTCTGGAAGTGTACCAGGAAAAGGCAATCCGGATACGCCTTCACATTCTCGTCTCTTCTTGTCATCCGATAGACGG